GAAGCCTAGCCAAAACCACCTTTGCGCTATACAAATGCTATCTATTATTATTATTATTATTATTATTATTATTACTACTACTATTATTATTTAAAATACAAGTGCAGAATTACGTGGTCTCGCTACATTAGATTGAAGCCGCGCCTTTAGCTCCAGTTGGTATCATGCTGGACTACCAAACGGAGGGCTCTTGTTCGAATCTCACAGTGGGCGTTCTTGAACTCGTGGTCGTTTTGTAGTTTCCTCGGCTCTCAACCCATTTCACGACAGTAGGTCCTACTTAATTAGACAGCCTAATCTATTTGACTCGGTCCTATCGGAGACAGACGTTAAATTCGTAAGGTGGGTGTGGTTGTCGGGTGCTCTGGTGCCGTTTGCTTCTTCTTTCCTATCAAACATCTATCGTCCATATCTCCCTTTTTTCTTTTTTATGTTTGTTACTCTCGTGTAACACCTCCAATCTTCTGGCGCTCATATGACCTTATGCAGTTGCGAGCGCTGTAAAAAATCTCTACTAAAACAAACAAACCAAATTCATAAGTCCCACCTCTTAATCAACCTAATAAATCAATAATTTGATTAGGTCTTATCGGAGACAGATCGCGACCTAAGCGCTTCCTTGTCGTATCTCCATTTCTTTTAACAGTGAAAACAGTCCATAACAAAGAGTGAACTTAAGAAGAAGTCATATTTTCAATATCTTTAAAAAAAGGATATAACAACAAGAAAGCAGAGAGGTCAAGAGATGTTAAATTCAGAAGACCCGCCTCTTAAACAACAACCTAATGGTGTGTAAAGGGGTAGTGAACCCACACACTTCAGTCTTTACACAGTGGTTAGTGTGTTAGCCCTTCGGCACGTTTCACCTATTTGTGGTGCATTTGTTTTAGTGAAAGGAAAGTTTTAAAGGAAAGAACTATAGTGCTAGAGAGCAGCCTTAGAAACAACCAGGCTGAGAAGCTCCAACGACGAAAGGAAAACAGCGGAAATACAGAGCTTCGATCTACGTCACTGACATGCAAGCACTGCGACAGAATCTGCGCCTCAAACATAGGAAGAATTAGTCATGAAAGTAGCTGCATGAAGACAACCGTGAGACCATCTAAAGCTAAATTGACCGTCTGATAGACGAAAAGAGCCATACAGTTTTACTGAGTGTTTTTCAGGGGCTCTCGTGGCCTAGAGGTTAAGGAATTCTCCTCTCATTCAAAGGTCACGGGTTTGAATCCGGGTAGCGACGGAAAAAAACACTTTCTTCTCTAACATGGTCTCTTTTCACCTCCTTTCCTGAACTCTAGCAATGTTCTGTCGTCTGCTTTCGTCTCCTCTTTCTGCCCCCACCCCTACACCTCCTTTGCCCCCTCCTCTGGGCTCCTGACTCTTTCTGCAGCCTTTCTACTGCTACTCTTTGGCTGTTTCTTACTGCTGTCTTTCAGCCACATCCCTGATCTTCTGATAGGAAAGATCTACATCTAGCCTTCTCGGACAAGGGCGAAAAATCTCGGTTTTAGTAAGAGTT